GCTGACTGAAGCTGTGCTGCAGTCACAAAAAGAAATCGTGAATGCTGTAAGATGCTGCCAATGAATTGAAACATCTAAATGATACGCGGCATGTGTGATACTGAAGTTGTAACGCTGATCCATCTGGCGGAAAATTTGGTGGCTCAGGGTCAGGTTCATCTTGCCTAAGCTCTTCAGATACCGGCAAGCCACCATTTTGTGCCAGATTATGCAACACGCTACATGCATGTACAATGCGACACGCTTTCTGCGGGCTGTATAGCGGCACCCCACCGGTCTTGTCCAGGCAGCGCCTATAGTGCGCTCCACCACCGCCGAGCCCGAGAACGGGGGGCAGCATTATAACGCCGCTCCTCTTCATTCTGTGGGTTTGTGAGCGGTGTGAGAAACCACGACTTCAGTGGGCACCCACTGTCCCCTAAGTTGTCAGATGGTTAAATCAAACAAAGCTTACAGTATTGGGCCAAATTATAAAATGGTAAAAATCTTCTTACTGAGCAGCCAGCCATCACGTACCACCCCATCTTCAAGTTTGTTTCCAACACTAATGTTTCTGAGAATGAACGAATCATGGGTTGAGTCAAGCCATCTAGCCACAACATTAATGCAGAGGCGTCAGAAGCATTTTGAATGTGGGGAGGACACACTGGCATAAAACTAATATTTTAATATTTAATATTTAAGTGGGGGGGGTCCAAACGAATAATTATGAAATGTGAGGGGAACACGTCCCCCTCAGATTTAATGGCGGCGACGCCCATGCATTAATGAACGCATGTTCAAATCGCACATAATTTGAACATTAATAGAGTGAAAGTGCTTTCTATTTACATAAGCAAATTCGTTCTGTGAAGGTGCCTTTATAGCAATGTGCATGCAGTCAATGGCTCCGATTACATTGGGAAAACCGGACATCGCTGCAAATTGCGCTTTAATCTTTGCCTGTTCAACCACAGTGTAAGGAAATTTTATATATTTGGGTGACAAGCAGATTATGCCGTCCCATACAGCTGGCATGGCGCGACTCAGTGTTGATTGAGAAATACCCGATCGGTCCGCAAGTTCTCACTGAAAAGCACCTGTGGCTAAGAACCCGAGAGTGGACAGAACTTGTGAAGGAACAGGTATAACGCAATTCCTCATCATCTGCCTTTGTAATGCTGGCCCCAGTTCAACAGTCCAGTTATATTGCCTTGCTCATTTCCACCGATGTTACTAAGCATTTCTGATGCAAAATGGTACTTGGGAATGACAGATGCTGTGTTCTGTATCACAGCGATGAAAGCCTGTTTTATCTGAGACCTTAAATTCTTTTACTGGTTTCTTATTATTGCGTAATTTCAGGCCATATCAGATGAGTCAAACCGCTAGCTTCCGTATTACAGTAATAAAGGCACCTTTTATCTGAGGCATTGAGTTTGTTCACTTGCCTTTATTTGTTGCCTTTCCTTTTCAAGGGATAATTCTTAATTCATAAGTATTGATTTTACAATGCAAACAAAGAATCAACCTCACAAAGCCCTCTGAGTTGTATATCGACCCCCTTCTAGTGCTTGGCAGAGGAAGAGAAAGAATATATTTTTGGTGTTAATTTATAAGGGAGGTGGAGGTATTATTTTATTTTATTGTTACTGCATGTATTTGGAAATTCTGTATGTACTTGAGATACTTGGGGAAAAAAAACCTCTAGACTGTAAAAGGCTGTTCATTTTTTGGGGGGGTACATTACCTGAATGCTGGAATTATGCATTATGCTCTAAATTGATACTGTCAACACCCAGCCAAGGAGTTACCGAGATCCCAGTACTCATCTACAATCTAATAATGAGGACCCATCCCTCTAAACCATATAGTTGAGCACAAGATAAATTATGTCCCCGTCTGAAACGGACCGTTTCCTTAAATACCTGCTATGCTAACGAGCTGCTCTTTTGGGGAGCGGGTGTCGCTTGTCTCTCCATTAGCGGCCGGGGACGGCAGGTGCGAGCAGGTGGACTTCTGTGCGCACTGAGTGATTAACTGAACCTCCAGGCTGACAGGCCTCAACTCTCCAAGGAAGGCTGAGTTAGACTAATATGGGTCTCTGTTTAACAAGGTTGGTAGGAGAGGAAGCAGGGGGAGGTGGGGGGGGGGGTTCTGGGGGGGACTGAGTTTACCGGAAAGTTCCCCTGAGAGAATGTGGTAAAAAAAATAAAGGCTGACAGCACTCAGGCGAACGTAATGAGCCTCCCGCAGACAAAGGCCGAGATGAGATTTGAAGGATTCTTAGAGAAACAGGAAGAGTTCTTGTGTTTGTTTTACGTTAGCACTACTTGCAGACTCAAATAAAAATCATAAGTTCTTAAACATGCATAAAGGATAATTTGCATTATCCCCAGGGCCTTTAACTCCACTGGCAAAAATTCAGCTCAACAACAACCCAGTACATGGGGGAACAAAAACGTGTGTGTGTGTGTGTGTGTGTGTGTGTGTATATATATACACAAACACTTACACACACACATATAAAATCTTGAGGCTGAAAAGTTCCATGCTTGCATTTAGTCTTGGAAGTTCCTGGCAAGGAGAGTGAGTCATTTCAACTTCCATAAAATAATTTCACTTATAAAGTCTCATTTTATGATACTGACAAAGTACTACATGAAGGAGGGACTTTAAGCCAACACCCCTATCAAAGGGAATAAGTCTTCTAGTGAGGGACAATGTGCGCAAGATGAGGTCTTACCCTATCTGGTGGAAGTTCAGCATCTTCCACTGAGCCGGACAAAGGGGTGATATGAGACATGAGAGGTACTCTGCGCTGTTCCGGCTTTGAAATGTTCTACAGCTTCCAGATTTACTGAGGTAGCTGTCATGCTGTGGAGAATTCGACTGGCCCCTTACCCAGACTCCCGCAAGTTACGATGAAAATCACATTGCTTCACAACCAGAACCAAACCTGTACAGCCCATTAAAGTGTGAATAGATAACTATGACTAAGTATTTAATTTAAGGGAATTTCATTTCACTTCAGGGTTACTTTCTTTTGTTATGGAAACAGCCTGGAGAATGAAACTGATTCAAATTTAGTGATACTAATTTAATGCCGTTTTTCTTTTTTTTTCTCAAAACCAACCAGTTGAGTACTCTGTGACTGGATGGTTGAAACAAAATCCTGGTTTGGATTTTTACTTTCTGGACCTGAAATGTACACCTCTGCTCCTAATCAATGTGTCCAGCTGTCTTCTATTTAAAACATGCTAATTTATTCACCGGCAACTCCAGTCATTTGGTGTTGACTTCCATTTGCATAATATTAGCTACCAGTTCATTATTATTTAGTAAAACCAACGCTTGGATTATGGATCCAGCCATTTGAAAGCATACATCAAGTTTCACCCAATGCATTCTCATTACCTCCATCAAAACAAGAAGCTAATTAGCATCATTTTGTGAAATGCACATCAGTATTTGTTTCGGAATTGGGTGGAATTGAGATTACAGGGAAGTGACAACAGACTGAACAATGAAAGGTTTGAGAAAGATGAGGACAGGTTGGGAACCAGCCAGAACCTCTTGATTCAGGACAGGAGCTGTGTTGTCACACAATATTACATGAATAAACATTCAAGATTCAATTCTTTATTGCCATTGTACATACAGTAACAGTAAAACGAAATTGGGATAGTGACTCCCCGAGCACTGCAAACAAAATACAACACAGAACAAGACATGTAATGTTTAACAATATGTACAAAATATGAAATAGACAATAAATAATTGCAATGTACAAATGGATAGCTTGTACATGGTGGGGGGTGCGTGGGGGGGGGGTGAGAGAGCTTAGCAAGAGTCATGGGGGTAAAAACTGTTCATGAGTCTGGTAGTGTGGACTTTGACTGCCCCTGTACCTTCTACTAGATGATGACAGTTCAAGCAAATGGTGTCCAGGGACCATGAGAGGTCTTTCATGTTATGGGTCCCCAGGAGTTTGACGCTTGAGACCTTCTCCATTGTGATATCTTTGATGTGGATTGGACTGGGCTTGGTGCATCTTCTCCTGAAGTCAGTAATGAATTCTTCGGTCCTGTCCCTGTTTAGTGCCAGATTTTTCTCTGCAGACCAGGAACCTCATCTCTGTTGGTTGACTCCTTACTGTCTGTGATCAGCCCCACCATTGTTGTGCCATCTGCAGACTTCACAGTGGTGTTTGTGATATGGGCTGGAACACAGTCATGGGTGTAGAGGACATAGTGAAGGGGCTGAGCACACAGATTTAGGGGACACTAGTACAGAGCATGAGGGTGAATGAAGTCTTAGTCTGGGGGTGGTTGCATAAAACATCATAGATCCATCCATCATAGATGCACAGATGGGCTGGCTAAGACCCAGCTCACAGAGCCTGCTGTAGATCTGGTAGGGTATGATGGTGTTAAATACAGAGCTATAATCAATGAACAGAATCTGCACATATGATATTGAGTGTTCAAGGTCGGTGAGAGTCATATGTAGGATGGCGGTGATGTCATACTCTGTGGATCTGTTAGGTGTTATGGACTCGAGGCAAGGCACAAGTGGGAGAAAGGTGACGATCCACTTTTGGTTCCAAGACAAACAAGGCTTCATTGAATACACTAGGGAAGATACGAGGGAAAGGCACAAATTAAACGTACCGTGAGGGGTCAAAGGAAAAATAAGAACCAACTAAAGTAACCATAAAGTACTAACACTGGGGAACAGAGCGACACAGGGAGCAGGACTATGAAACAAGCAAAACTCCTATCACACAGTAACATGGGCATGAACAATGACAGACTAAATAACTGAGCAGACAAACACACTTAAACACACACAGGCAAGCAAGGCAAACAAGGGGCAGATGTAACTCATACTCAGATGTAACTCATAATCAATTAACCAATCAGAGGCATGGGGCAACAAACAGGCAACAGGTGAAACAAATTAACACAGGCACAGAAAGAAAGGAACTAAAGAGACACTAGAACTAGGCAAGAAAACCATTAACTGGGAATACAATACTAAGATAATAAACACTGACCAGAAATATAAAACAAAACCAGAACAGAATACAAGCAGGGCAATCTTTCAAAGGGAGGCAGATTAGAAAAACACATGGGATAGAAACCCATTAATTACAAATAAACACCCATGAATAAGAGAGTTGTATTTTTTGCCGCATACTCAGCCCAATGAGCTTTGCGGCAGTCCAGGGAGTAGGGGAAACACACAAGGTTTGAAGGACCGAGAGGAGGAAACAAATGTCTGCTAGCCAAATGGGGAAAGGTCACAAAGGGAGGGGTCAGAGACCATCGACCCTGACAGGTATTATGTCTGTAGGCATATTGGTCTTTGGCCAGAGCATTTGGAATTGTAGCTTTGATGTGTGAGAATACCAGCCTCTCCAAGCATTTGGTAGTAATAGCGGTGAGTGCAACTGGTCTGAAGTCTTTCAGATCCTTAACAGTTGGGTATTTGGGGACTGGGATGAAAGTGCCAGATTTGAGATAGTGAGGGACAGTGGCCAGTGACAGGCCTGGGATGATCAAGGTGAATACTGCAGGTAGCTGATCTGCACGTTCGCTGAGAACTTCATAGTATTCCATCATGTCCAGCAGCTTTCTTTGCATTTACGCTCAGAAACATGCACGTTACGTTGTTTGTCTGCAAGGTCAGTGCAGAGCTGTAGCCAGACTGCTGAGGGGTGGGTCAGGCCTCTCTGAACTATGAGTAGATGGTGTTCCATAGTTAACTTTCTCCACCCTAAAATAAAACTGGACTTTCACTTTTGATGACAGTGCATGTTTTGCCTCATTTGAGATTTTATATTTATGGTTCAGGGTTAACGTTAGCGATTTTGGGTTAGCACATGCTTAGTAAGCAGCCATACATGAATAGCTTTTTAATATCTTAATTAGCACCATTGCTTAATTAGTAGAGTAATTGCTCTTCAGTGTCAGTCGATTTTCAAGCACAAAGACAAAACAGAATTCTATTAATGGGAATAAATAGGAATGTAATGCTCAAATTTGGGCAGGGGGCCACCGTAGAGTACAAATGTACCTTTAACACACTAAAGACAGCATGACAGGAAGCAGCGATGTGGTGGGTGTTGAGGCTAAGGCCATAAGACATACCACTCAGTGCTCACATCCTCTTACTTGCTGTTGAGAATATGGCTGTCTAGACTGGGTACCTTTTTTAACTCAAGCAACAAACTCCTTGGGAACTTTTAGGTACTTTTTATTAGAAGTAGCCTGGGGTGTTACATTCAATGGTGGTTTTAAGTATTACCTCCTAATAACCATACATACTATCCTAGATCCATATATCAAAACCACAGCTTTTCCTTCTTAAGTCTGTCATTGAATATTGTGCTCACTTCTTTCTCCTCTCTACTTTAAAAGTCGAGTTTCTGTTCTGAATTCTTTAAACTTAACAGCCAGCAGCCAAGACCAAGTTCAGAAAAATGCCTTTTTCCCCCCCTGAACCCCCCCCCCAAAAGCTTACAGGATGAGGCAGCAGACAGGACTGGAGCACTGCAACCTGTCATGTCAACTTCTACAGTATGTTACTCTGAGCTCTGGGTTTCTATGGACGCACTTGACTTTCAAAATGCATGTGAGTACAGCTACAGAAATGTTGAAACCATGCGATGTATGCAAATCGGTTACCAACTCTGTTAAAGGTACAGATGTTGAGAAAGCAATTCCGCATTTTTTAGGGTAAGCCACCAAAAAGAACGTTATTGAATCATTATGTCTCAACATGACTCCAATATTTTAATGTTTTATCACATCAAGCTTCATGGCTGACATATAACATGGTTAATATATAAGCCAGTTGACTATTTCCTCATTACTCATAGTTACAGAAGATAAAATCTCATTCTAGTGAATTGTGGGACAATACATTTTTGGTCAAGATTTCAATGTCAAAAGTACTAGTTTTGTTAGAAGTGCCTATATGTGGCCTGTTCATCAGATCCAAGTCGATTTCCACTTTAACGCCGAAAAAATACAAACATAGAAAAAGAACTGTTGCAATAGAAATAAGAAAAATGGCCTGATATTCAGAAACATTGCAGAAAGAGTTGTATTTCATGGCATTCAATTTAAAATTTAATTCAATTTAATTCAAAATTTAATGCAAAAATATCGATGCATTCATCTTCTATAATCACTTCCACCAGTTCAGGGTGACCGTGAGGCTAAGAAGAACAGGCAAGACAGAGACCCCCGGGGACGGGATGCCAGTCCTTTACAGGACACACACAATGAAGAGAAAATTACAAAATGATAGGCATGTGTTTCTGGAGTATGGGGGGGAAGCAGGTGTACTGGGAGGAAACTCATACACAAACACTGGCAGAATATGCAAATTATTCCCATCAAGGTAGGATTCAAACCCCCCACGGAGAGGGATCTAAGGATTTTCTCACCAAGCTACCACGCCACCCTCAGTATAAACCGTTCATCTGTAATCGCACTGCAATATTGTAATGTGAGCAGTGTCACATGTGATGGAGTGACACGGGATCTCGTCTGATTTGTGAGACCATCATGGATAAGTGGGTTAGCCGTGTTTCAAGTGCAGGAGGATGGAGAGATGATGAAGGACACCACTCAGCTTCAGTCACCGCGTTATTTATCTGACATTAATATAAGTTATTCATTGTTTGTTGAAGAAGTGCAAACATTTCTCAGCTTTGTGAGTTGTCTTTTTTTTAATAAATGGATGCTTTTACCATAAAAGTTTTTTACCCATTTGTATGACTGGCTACTTTACTGAAGCAATTCATGATAAGTACCTTACTTTTGGGTACAGCAGCCTTATTCACAACTACTGACTACAATAAGCTTCTAAATTGTGAAATCTCACCTTATCCAGAAGAGGAGAGAGGGTGGAATTTCGGTTTATATTATTCTCCTCTATTGCCCTTATATACGTACCACCATCGGTAAGGAAAGATGGAGAATCTTAGTAATTATTTTATTAGCATGGACCATAAGCATTGGGTACTAAAGGTAGATCTAACATGTATCATCCATCCATCCATCCATCCATCTTTTCTTGGTTTATTTTTATGCTTCTTAAGCACATGATGAAATAATAATACTGAATTTTATGCAATAACCTTATACAGAAATAAACTCTTTTGTGCCATATGTGTCTCCATTCATTGTCCATAAGCATCTACCCTGGTCAGCATCACCGCCAGCCTGGACTCAAGGCAGGGGGACTCAAGGCAGGGGAACACTGCGTACAGGACGTCTGTTTGACATGTAGTATTCAAATGTAAGCATCCCTAACCTATTCTAATACTACAGATTATGCTGATGTTGTAAACACTTATTTTTCATTAAGAGCACAACCAAGATGCTGACCTCTTGAGATCTAAAACAGACTGGTGGGTTGGGTTTTCTGGAACAGGGTGAAATGCAAGACTGTTTAAAGCTCTGTCTTTCTGGTTTGGAGAACAATACCTGTATGTTCGCTCAGAAAACAATATGCAATTTACCAGAATATAAAAAATGGACAATAAGAGTTTCTTCTGTTCTCCAAAAAGTTACTGACATCTTGGTGGATGGCTGGATGAACAATACTTCTGTTTCAAAACCTCTCCTCAGAGACTCCCCGTGTTTTCCCAGAATGCCTGTCACAACCTAAAGTCCCATTCCATCCCCAAATATAGCCCCCACTTCATCCTTCCATCCTTATGTCCTGCGGTTCTCTCCAGCGCTGGACAAAGCCCACGTGGAGCTCTAGGCTTTTCCGCTTCGCCGCTGATGTGAAACAGCGATACATGACCTCAGCCTTTTATTGTATTGCACCCATCTATACAAACTGTGTCATGAGACTGACCTGCCCCTCCTTAGCCTTCTTCTTATATTTCACCTTAATGTCAGTTCCAAAATCACCCATATCTATCCAACTGATCTAATAATCACGGATATCATTAACTGAATATTTTGTTGTCTATATAACATAGAATCTATTACAGCTAGTAACAGCGTTCCCAAATTTAGAATCTGCTTCCCTTCCTTTTTCTCACTCCCTATCGCTTATGAATACCTGGGCAATTCATAGTTCTTTGTTTTCTGGAATACGACTCAAAATAATTTCTTCTGCTGTTATTTCTGCCTACATATCCGCGTCCTGCATTTTCTATAGAAGACATACATAATTGGATGTAACGTTGATTTCCTGGTGGCTAAGATTGCCTGCTCTACACCATGAACCGCAGCCCGTATTGTTAGGCTTCCCAAATGAATGCTCTGCGTGTGTGTGTGACCTCATCACACTCAGAGGCATCCTGGGATCCTGCAGGGACGGCTTCCGTGTAAATGAAGATCCTTGGTGACCTTATATGTGGGCTTCCTTCAGGCACTCCAGTTTACTCCTGCAGTCCAAAAACATGTGGTAATTGCTCAAGGTGCGTGAGTGCAGTGTGTGTTCCCAGCACTGCACTGGCATCTCCCACAGCGAGTCCCCTGCCTCGTGCCCTCTGCTGCCTGGGATAGGCTGCAGGCTTATTGTGACCCCGCACTGGATAAGTGGTTATGGAAGATGAATGGCTATATATATATATTCAGATACATTATAGCTCTTCTTTAGACAGCTAAAAGTGGAATAACTGAGGGGCAATACATTTACATTTTTGTCAAGGCTCTAATGTAGAGCAATCGCCATTCATTATCACGAGTTCAGACACTCACTTAGCCCATTTGGTGCTACAAATGGTATCTTCCTTTCGGTCCCAGGAAGATGCCATTACTAACACATCTGTGAGAAGAACAAAAAAAAGCAGCCTGAGTGAGACACATGTTTTATCCCATGATTAGTGAATTGGGTTAATGCCGAGCGCTGTCCCTGTCCTCTGCCTGCTGAGAGATCAGTCCTTCCTGCCAGCTTACCAGCCAAATTTACTGTAGAACAAAGATTCTCAAGCTGAGTTTTAATTCTGATCTCCAAAGAAATGCTGCATAGCTTGGAATGTATGCAAATACACGAACAAAATATTTGAATGTGATATTTTGCCAGACCTATACTGCATCACCAAGCTACCTAGTATTTCAAGTATTGGCTGCATCTGGTCAATTTTCAGATTTCTAGGTGTCATTTTTTTATCGTTCCCTACAAATGTTAGATTGCACATCTCTTGTGACCACCTGTCTGAGGTACCTGAGGTTCCTCTTGCAGAATGATTATCGATGTAGTTAGATCAATAAGCGTGGGGCAGTCGTTAAGACCTGCCAGCTAATGTGGCCTTTCAGCCGCCTGCAGGGAATTGTGGGTGATGCAAAACAAAAATGTGGAGGTGCATTAGCTCATCGTATTCCGATTCTAGGTCCCAAAACAAGAAGTAATGATGATGCAAACACTGGCTGCAAATGTGAAATGGCACCCATGCAATCAGCCAGTCCGTTCCCCTCCCCTGGCAGTATTTTCAGTCAATGACGCAATGAGAGATTAAAAGCTTCTGTCTGTTACCTGCTGTATGTGCCATTCTATTACAGATAATATCCACATGACAAACCTTCATTATGCTTAAGGAAAATACTTATTTTAGAAGTCAGGTTGTCCATGCTCACTAATAATAAAACTAAAAATAATGTTTCCCTTTGTAGAAGCATGTAATCTTATAAATGTACCTATTGGATTTTATATGATTACTACTTTTAAATGTTTAGTTGTTTAAAACACCTTGGGATATCACGAGTGAATCTCACCAAGACGGCATGGGCAAGGTCCTGCCTGCTCTGACCCGACTTAAAGCAGGGTACGCATATCTCACACTATGTGTAAATTCAGAATACACCAGGGGGTCCCCTATCGCCTCAGCAAGGAGAAGCTGCCCGCACGTTCAGGGGCACCACCAGAAGGTCCTCTATCGCCACAGCAAGGAGAAGCTGCCCGCACGTTCAGGGGCACCACCAGAAGGTCCTCTATCGCCACAGCAAGGAGAAGCTGCCCGCACATTCAGGGGGCCACCAGAAGGTCCTCTATCGCCACAGCAAGGAGAAGCTGCCCGCATGATGCCCCTAGAGATGTTGGGCATAGCAAATTGCATCCCCAAAACAGACCAAACCAATCATGTTCCAATTATTGTAGGGCCCCTATCAAAAACAGGCCCTTGGAATCATCCCAAATCACCCCCCCCCCTTTTATAGTACCCACATGTAGGTTGAATTTAAAATAACAGTCAAATTCAGTAAAAGTTTATCGAGGCAGCAAGTGCTGGTATTATGTGCAGGCCATTTTTTTAGAGTCAGGCTATATTTTTTATTCCTTGCGCCGCGGCAGGTGGGAGTTCTTCGAAACTGGGTCAGCGATGGCCACAGATGGCCAGCAGAGTACACGCCGGACAGCCGAAGAACAGCAGAACACACCTGAGTACAGCCAGAACTTCAGATGACCACTCACCGCGGGGCTTCATTTAGTGAGGTCTGGTGAAGGGGGGGGGGGGGGGCTGCGATGGTCATTTGTCTCTCAAAATGGTCACCGAAAGGCAAAATAAATGACTGCACCTGTATTTATCACCCTGCAGCTCTTAGATGTGTGTCAAAAAAGAATAAAGATGCTCATAATACACATTATGCAATATCAAACATACCTGATAATATTCACCCTGCAATAGTGTAGAATATCCTCCATTGTGTTGCCCTTGTGCCTTATACCTAACATAGAGTCCAGCCCTATTGGGTGGATCCTTCTTCTTCTTATTATTAATAATAATAATAGTATTAGTATTGTTGTTTGTTTTTATTGTTATTCGTCTTCTTCTTAGCAGTCGTATTAGTGTTAGTAGTAGTAGTAATGGACGTAGTGATGGTAGTTGGCAGCCCATCCAGGATGCACCCCAGCGTTGAGCTCTTTGGTGTGCATATTGCTGCTGGGATATGCTGTACCTCCTAACCACGCACACACAACCAAAACCTGCATGGGTTATTACTACCTATGTTAGTATGGGTGGCAGTAGAATTAGTATTATCTGTTTTTAATCCCTCATAAATGTGCACAAAAAAGAAATGAATCTCAATCGTTCTCCGGACACTAAACCTATGGAGCAGCGGCTTCTTTTTGCAAGGACAACTGAGTACAAAAAGGCAGGTACTAAACATGCAGGAAAAAGGAAAGTCTGAAGCAATCACAGGCTCACTCTCTCTCTCTGAAAGTCTCTGAAAGTTGGGTCCCTTTGCAAAGCAGGAACAAAGCGCTAACCGGTTTAGTCTGAATAAATGTGGAACTTACACGTCTTTAAATTAGTACTGTGGGGAGGGTGAATTTGCAGCCTGCTGTGAGAAACTGTCTTAATCATAAAAATGCCCTAGATTTATAAATAAATCCACTAAATATTCCTTATAAATAAGTCCTTTTTATATCAAAGGGCATTTTAATAGTTTACTCTTGCCTTAAAATATGCTAACATAAAAATAGTATTTTTGCATTAAATAATTAAAAATATATATTTCATTAATCCACTTCATTTTACTAGCAATTTTTTTCTAAAATGATAAGTAAAATAAATGAGTAAATACAATTAATAATAAATGATCATATACAAACAGTAAGCTGCAGGGCTAGATTCACACTATTAAAAAGCTGCATTTAGAAATGTCAGAACTG